GAGTAAGCGCACTTAGCAGACTGTGAAGACTGATCTGAAATGCTTAGGGATGCTAGCAGCCTCACCAGATTTTGTTACTACTGCTAAAATTGTTTCTGGGCACTGACTTATGGCACTGTAATATAACTGTTCCATTCAAAAAGGGACTTTGTGTCTGAAATATTTGACGTTAGCATGCACTACCTTTAAACTTTCCTCTGGAATGGACCCATTTAAAGACCAGGATGAGAAGAATCTCTCTGCTTTGCTAGCATCAGCATGGTTTTAGTGAGACTGCACTTCTGGTGTTGTCAGAAGTCTGGTGAGATCCATGCTGATTTTTTTTTTCTTCTTGGTTTAATAGCTGGAAAGTTCAGAACTCTTGAGTATCACCTACTACTTTGAATTAATAACTGTAATTTAGGTGACTGCATGCTGATCTGTTGCTCACTTGCAAGCAGTTTTTACTGAGTATTAAATAATAACTGAAATAGCAGTCATTATGAAATAATTAGGATGGATATATTATCATTGATTAATATTCTCCAGGCATTATGCTATGTTCTTCTTGTAAACTTAAAACAGTAGCTATATTTCAGAGGGGAATAACTGGGTAACCTTATATGGCTGGTGATAGGAGAAGTATGTGGTCAAGTCAGAGCTAAATTTGTTTTATCCCAGATTACTGTCTTATTAAAATACCAACCCCCCCACTCTGCTTAAAATCAGATTCAGTGTGAGTATTTGTATCTTGGGACTTTTGCAGTCCTTCTAGCTAGATTTTCTTGGTCACTTGTGAGTGCTGGCAAACTACAGCCGTGACAACCAACATGTTGCTTTCCACATGTTTTAAACTGAGAGTTCTTGGTTAGTACATTTGAGATTGATTAGGACTTGCTCATTTGTAAGTTCAGTCAGTTGTAGAAGTGGCAGTTTTCTTTATTTGGGATAGAGGAACAGCAAAAGGTGCTGAGGATGTCATATTTGGAAGGAAAGTGCTGGTTTTATTATTGAAAGTTTTCTATTATGTGATTATGGTGATTCAATGAGAACTGTATTTTTTTTGCATAGTTTTTCTAAATTAAATCTGACTCTATACATCCTTTGGCTTAATTGATCTTATTATTGAATAGGAGTGCTAGAAGAACTTGTACAAGTCATTCTGATTTGCTCTTTAGATGTGTGTGTGATTCCTGATTGCCTATTTGGAACATGTTGGAAAGGTTAAAGCAGATTTTATCTCACTGATGGAAATAGTTTGCTGGCAAGGTATTTTTTATTATTGTTGTCTAGAAAAAACATTTAAAACTGTATTCAACAGAAGTCTTTGCATTTTGAAACCTTATCTTTGCTTTCTAATGTACACCATTTGCAGGACTAGTGGCCTTTTGGCAGCTCATATTTTGCATGGTTGTATGATGCCTCATTAGTTTTGCAGAATGCATCAGAGGACAAATATCAATGACCACTTGTTTAAAAACATCTGACCCACTTAAAATTGAGTTTGTTTTCTGAAAGGTTACATCCTAGTCGTAATTTAGGTAGCAATGTTAAGGTAAACTTTAAATTAGTATCAGCATTTTTTTGCCTCCTTGCCTTCTGTGTTGGGTGTATTTCTTGTAAGAAAGCAGGCGTGAATTGTTAAATGCTGGTATTTGAGCCAATAAAATTCTAATGTTAACAAACAGAAAAATCTTGAAGTCCAGTAGAGTTTCAGGTCTCTTGTTCTTTTACATATAATAGCTTAATGAAGAAATTTACATGCTTTGTGGTGGAACTTGCTTGTAGAGGGCAATATGATGATAATAACAACAGTGATGACAACTAATAATTCCTATGTGTCCTCAAAACTGCAAACCACTTATTGCTAGTTGTGGGGGAAGTGGTGATTGCTGAAAAGCAGGGGGATGGATTAAAAAAGAGAACAGATAGCCAATTTTTAAAAAACTCCAACACTTCATTGAATTTTATTTTTAGAAGTTTAATATAGGAAGTGAAAAATTGTGAAAATATTTTCACAAAGTATATAGAAGAGAAGTTTAACTAGAAACAATGTCAAATATACAACTGAAATCAGTTTAAACCTTTTCAAACTTCATACATAAGAATATTCCATTTTTTTCCTAGCTGTGTTCCTAGTTGTTACTAGCTGTGTTTCATTAATTGCAGTCAGTGTCAGTCTGCAGGAAAAATCAAATACAATGAGTTAAATTCAAAGGCACAGCAGCTGGAAGGGTTTCTGTTTGTTATGTTGGTAACCTGACCGAATGCTTGGTGAAGTGAAGAAGCAGCTGAGTTTGTTAGCTAGCTTTCAGTCATGCTGCCGTCTGTGGAGAGGGAGGAGGTATTTCGATATTCTGATCCAGTGAGATGTTAGGGAGAGGTTGGTGCAGACTTGCCTGACAGCAGATATCTGAAGGGTAAGGCTGTTTCTTTATAAACCTGGTTTGGGGATTGACAGTCTTGGCTATGGACTCTCCTATAGTTCTTTTGGACCAGCGAGTGTCTACTTAATATAATTCTGCATTTTTTGCTGAATGCAATGTCTGTCAGCATTTTTAGATTTATTTCTTTTTAATTGGTGAAATATAATGTAGTAAGCACAAACCATTAATATTCTGTGAGTGTCTTACCCTTTTTCAAATATGGTCAAAATAGGTCCACATTCAGTTACGTGGGATCTGGATGTAATGGCCCATTTTGTATTTTTACTTTTGCTGCTAAGTAACCAGCAGGCTTTAGAATTTTCTCCTATTAATTTTACACACACAAACATAATCAATTTATACTTTGAAATAATACTTTGGAGAAGTGGTAATACGCAACAGCAAAGCTGAGCATAACCGACCTGGAGCACCAGGTACTACTGTATGGGAAATAGTTTAAAAACTATTAAATAGTTTTAAAAAATGTGATGTTATTTTATATACAGATATTCTGCAATACTTAGGAGTATTAATTTTTATAAATTGGCTGTTACATAGGAATTTAAATAGTGCTGCAATATGTGATACTGTGCCAGCACTAAAACTGGAACAATCTTGTTAATACTCTTGTATGAAGTGAATTGTATTGAGAGTGCTGTGTTCTCTTTTATATATTTGAGCTTCTCATCTTGGGTAAGAAGCTTTTTTTCCCAACAGAAATTCTTGAAAGACCAAAACCTTCTCTGAATTGAGAACTTACGTCAAATTCCATTTTGGGGCAGACACTAGATTTAATTTCTGCTTTTGTGAACTTCAGCCTTTGGACTGTGGAAAATAAAACTAGCTCAGGCCAATGGAGCTCTGCACTTGTGTGAAGGGGAAGCTTTGGCAATATTGGGCTTTTGAAGTGTAAGGAAATAGTCAAAAAAACTACCTGAGGATATTTCTGGCTTTAGTAAAATGCCGTTTGCCCCTGAAACTGGTTAAGGCTTCCCATTACCTCCAACATAATCTTCTAGTATTGAATACTCTTTTGGCATAGTTCAATTGCAATTTAAAAAGGATAATTAATTTTAAAGAGAACAAAATAAACTAAACTGTGAACATTTTAATAACAAGAGAAGCTTACATTTGTTGTTATGTCCTCAGGTAACCTTTTTTCTTTGTTCAGTATTGCAGGTGAAACTATTTAATAATTGTTTTGGACACTGCTTTCATATCGGTCAACAAACGCAGTCAGTAGGGCATTACCAGGAAAAAGGAAAACAGTGACCTTAAATTCATAAACACTTGAAAGTAGAAATGGAATTTGTAGAATACCCCCCAAAAGTTACCAATACAGATCCTGTCTAGGTCAGCAAAGCTACTAGTGTATTTTTAATACAAATTTGAAAGCAGTTGTGTATCTGCCAGATTAACAATGAGACCTCTCAGCCATGCTCTGAAAGTGTTTTCTTCTTGGTTGCCAGATAGTTATAATAAACCAACCCACAAAAGATGTTCAGAGAACACAATGTTATTTAGATAGCATATGCTTAAGCCAGTGTACTCTGAAGTTGTATTTCTGAAGACTTTTCCTATGAAAGCCTATAGATTTCTGCAGGATTTTTCATTACCTAAAGGAACAATGTTGGACTGAATGATTTGAAAAATACTGACTTTTGAAATATGATGCTATTGTCAAATGTTTATTTCTATTTATGCATCTTTTATCTTTGTTTCAGGAGCTGTGGAAGTGTCAGTCCGAAGCCCAGTTGCCTGCTGGTTTAGTGCTATGCTCTGTTGCTTTGGTGGGTCAGTTTTGTCTTCACTGATGCTTGCAGAGCCTCCAGTAGCCTTTCTGGCAAAGGACACAAACATCCTGCTGGCATCTTCAGTCTGGTAAGCAACCACAGTTGAGTTAGGTGAAGGTTCTGAGGAGGCTATGCTTTGTAAAATGAGATTATACCATCAAACTTACATGTAAATTGGAAGCTTAACTTAAAAATGTTATAGATTTGTACACTATCTCTTCAGCCAGAAAGTCACTGCAGCAAAATAGCTGTTACGATCCTGTTCTATAGGAATAAAATGCACTTAAGAGAGCAGCTCTTACAGGCTGTTGTACTGAGCTCTTGAAGTCCAGAACCTGGCTGATGTAAAAAACTTGAAATTTTATGTAATTGGGGATGCAAGACACAGGTCCTCTTTCCTCTCCTCTGGTTTCTGCTTCCTGACATAGTATTTTTCTATATTTGGCCCTTTTCCAAATGGATAGATGTTGTAGTGGAAGACTGGGAGTTGAATGGGAGGTCAGGTATGGGAATGAGGCAGCAATTTGGCCTGTTCTGGAATTCTAAAAAAGCACTGGAATTATTTTCATATAAATGTGGCCTTCCGGTGGAGTTGTTCCAGAAAGTGATCTTTGAAGAAACCCTCAAACTTAACATACTTGGTGAGCAGTGGTGGGGTTTTGAATTTAAAAATCTCAATTCCTATCTTAGGAGAGTGTTATTTGCTTTAAATCCTTTAGTATCAATTCCTTGTGGCCCCTTAGGTTTTATAATTGCAACTTTGTTAAAATGAAAGTGTTTCCATCTGTCTGTGTATATCTGTGTATTAGTCTTGTGGTCTTCCTGTTGCAATGGAAGATGACAGATTTTGTTTAGACAAATGGGTGAAATGAATAATGTGCAATAAATACTGTCATATTAACGAAGCTTATAGAATCTGCCTATAGTTCTTATTAGTCTGATGCAGGCAGCATGACCGCTTGTTTTAACGAATGGCACGAGTTAGGACTACATGCGAACAGAACATGATTTCTGTTGAAATGAACGTGGTCAGATGTGATTTGCTGTGCAAAAATAAAATGAGGTTTTAATGAGGAGCTATGAATGTTATTAATCCTTTTAGGCTTTTACATAGTTTTACATCGTTCTCTCCTCATAAGCATAATGACTTTAATTCTTGGTCCAAAATCATATGAAACTGAATTCCCCAAGCCATACATAAAGCTGGAAAAGGAAAGGGGAAAGGGGTTGTGCCAGGCTTGAAAAGAGCTTCCAAATAGTCTGTAGGACAACGACACCTACTGTTGGCATGTATTGCTAGCAGATACCGCAGGCAAAAATGCTGCGCTGGGGCTGCTGTGCCAGGTTTCGTCCACTCACCTGCGCCTCAGGGTCCTAAACCCACATTTTGCAATTGTAAATCAGTTTTGGTTAGTGTTGCCTGTTGCATACCGTGGCTTAAATGGCTACTTGCAGTGGCCATTAAAATACATGCTCTATATGTCTTCGACTTCGTATCAACTGAAGCGTGGTTACTTACAAGGGCAATTGACTTTACAATAGGAGAAAGAGGAAGAATGTGAGTAGTTCAGAAGTAAAGTTAAAACTGAACACCAGAGCAGTAGTTAGCTCTTAATGTAAATTCCAGTAACTTTCTGTGAGAAATAGGCTATTGCCTCTGGGAGGTCTTCAAGAGAAGAAGCTTTAGAAGTTTGCAGTGGCAACATGCTACATCTGTTGCAGAAAAAGAAAATATATAGCTAGGATAGAACTTCAGCTAAACTTTGCCTTTGTGGAGAGGGTGCTTCCTGGCAGTCTGCTGTAAAGATAAGCATTTTTTATAAAAAAACCAACAAAACAGAACAGCCCCAAATCCCAAACATGGAGTGCTGACCTGATTTCTGATCTCTGACCAGGAAGAATGACTCTTCCTAGTTGTGGTGTCTGCTAGTAGTTCTAACAAAGTAAACTAGACACGAGAGGTGCATCTCTGCATTGCAGCCTGAGCAAGCAGGAGAAGGATCCTGCCTTAGAAATTCTTGGTAGACAGGATTGAGCTCAGAAGCCTAAACCAACAGGCTAGTATCTTCTTTTTTAATTTACTACTTTTTTTTTTTAAGTTAAAAAGTATATTTCCCATCTTTAAAGGCTTTGTCTGCCTGTACTTGATTGTTAATCTTGTATTCTTCTGCTGAAATAATCTACTTAATATTGATTTTTTTTTTGAGACCTTGATTGTCTGTAAGAACTGAATTTTGTTTATGACTGAAGAGTTACAATAAAACACCACATAATCTAATCTTCTAAAATTTGCTGTCATTTTAGGATTTCATTGGTAGGCATCTTTACTTTGTTTTAAAAGCAAGTTGATAAAAGATGCTATTAAATTTTGAGTACTGTGCTTTCAAAAAAGAAATGTGCTAGCAATTGGCAAGCTGGAAAAGCTAGAATTGGTGGCTACTAAGATATGAAATGTTTGAAAATAGCTGTGCATTTCATCTGGCATAACACTAACTAGTGGAGGCATTCTTGCTGAAGTTAATATGATTCCGTGTACCTATCAGTATGAAAGCATGCTGTCAGCATGTAGTTTACCACCCTGTTATAATCCTATAAAAAACTCCAAAGCCCCCCAAAAGCCCAACTGAACAAAAAAATAACCCCCCAAAAAAACAAATCACACAAAGTCAGTCAGGCACTAATTTAATAATTTGAATTGTAAAAATGTGACATGTACGGTATAGAACAGTTGGTGAAATCTGTCCTCATGTACATTAGTGGATTCTTTTCTGGAACAATGAGGCAGTAAGTAGAATTTCAAATACTCTTTTATCATTTTCATGCAAGAGGTCAGGAATGTTCAGAAGCATTTCAGATTTGTTCCAATATGTCTGCCACACAAGACAGTGATTTAACCAAAAGTATATCATGCATTGCTAGCCATATTCCGAAAATATCTTCAAAGGTTATTAGAAAGTGAATTTTTCAGCAAAAACTCTTGAATGCTGCTAATGGGTTTTTTCATGATTTTCAGGTATCTTGTGTTTTACTGCCCACAAGACCTATTCTGCCGGTGCTTTGCCTTTCTGCCTCTTCGCCTTCTGGTTGCAGGAATGAAAGAAGTGACTCGGACTTGGAAGATAACAGCTGGGGTTGCACATGCACACGGACACTTCAAAGATGCCTGGCTTGTCATGGTAGCTGTGGGCTGGGCCAGAGGTAGCATGCATAACGTTTTGTTCTGATGGATTGTGATGTTTTGGAGTGCTGTTTAAATGGCTAGCCCTTCAGTGTAGCTGTAGCACCATTCCTTGCTGTACTGAATATGATAGTCCTAATATAGTCTGTTATCTCCTCAAGGGAAAATCCTGTGCAGCTGTTTTTCTGCCTGGATTAAGGGTGACATTGAATGACTGAGGGAAGTTCATCTTATCCCTTCAGAAGGTCTTGTGAGGACCTGTAGGATGGGCAGTTGATGGCAATAAATAAATGGATCTCCCATGTAGCTTTAGTGCTATTACTAAACTTTCCAACAGTGTATTTCCTCAGAGCTGTTTTCCTTGTGCGTGGCTGAAGAACAGAACTTGTTTTATTAGCTTTCTGATTTGTAACCATTAGCTGATTATAAACACAGGGATGAAACTTCTTGCCTGCCTGCTGTTTGGAGCATGACTCTGGAAGCTACCTTCCTAGCAGCTGTTTTTGTAGTCACAACATAGAACCACTTCAGGAAGTAGCAGTGCAGCTCTTGTTTCTATTTGCTTGATTCTGTTCTGGTCTGGGATCATCTAACTTAATCTTTTTCCCAGGTTATAATACAGATTGTCTCATTGGTCAGAGTGTCTAACACCTCCTTATGTCTTGTATTCTTTTAATGTAAAAATACATACTCACTTTTCTTGCAGTGTGTCCTCACAGTTTATAGAGATGTTCTCTGTACTTACATGATGACATGCAGAATAGAATAGTATAAGCCTCCCTGGAGATTTGCTTTGGCAATTCAGGAGTTTCTCTGTAGTGATGAGTGTATCAGTTGAGATGCTATCATGTAAAGATACACCTGATGTTCTTGCTAAGTAGCTAAACCTCTGAGGTTTCATGTCGGTCACTCAAGTCATGCACATATAAAAGACTGGATTAGTCCCTTCTAAGTCTGAGCTTTGGATGCCACATTTGGCACCTGGTGTAACGAGTTTTGCTGGGAGCAGTAATAGGTTGCACAGTAGTTGTAGCAGTCAATGGAGGCTTATAGTAAATCTCTGATTTCAGGAGCTGGTGGTGGCCTAATTTCCAACTTTGAGCAGCTGGTGAGAGGATTGTGGAAACCTGAAACCAATGAACTACTGAAGATGTCCTAGTAAGTTTTTTTAAGAAGACTGCAACATGTTAGCTGTTGTTTTGCTAACTCCTTGTGTTGACACTTGCTTTTAGTGGTTCAGATTAAAAAAAACAAACAGTAAGATGTGTTTGTACTCAGTGTTTTGGTGTGTATCTTGTGAAACATTGGTTGATGATCTTTGGTAATTTTAGCAGATGTATTAATCATTTTAGGTTCATAGCACAAGAACACCAAATGGGAAAACAAGTCAACAAAAATTTTTTTGGCAAAAAGCAATATTGAGTCAGTAGGAAGTTGCTGGAAAGCAGTATTGACTCAATTTGTCTTACAGGAACTTGGTCTTCTATCCAAAATGAAAGGACAGTGGTATCCCAATTACACAAGTGAGGTCTGCATTTTTGGTGCATTTTCTGAGCATCACTAAGGGCTTCCTTTGAGTGTTGTCACTCTTACTTTCTCGCAAGTACTTTTTTTCCTTCATAGATATCAGTTATTTGAGAAAGTGCAAGTTGGTTGTTCAATATAGCAAAAATATACTGTGAGATAGGAAATGTTGCTTCTCTTGCAGAAGCGAATAATGGGAATATTACATGGCTCCAAATTTAGTCTGTTCAGTAAAATGAGAATTGAGACAGTCTAGAAAGCCACAAGCTGCTATTGTAAGTCATAGTTATTGCTTAAAATTAATTTGATCTTTCTCATATTACTCTTAGGTCTTTAGAAATAATACTAGGTTGTTTTTTTTTTATTAGTTACCTTGCTTTTCTGCAGGCACTCTTAGTAACAGAATAACAGTATAGAAATTTGTAGCCTTTCCTTTGGCAATATTCAACTTTTTATGGCTTAAGTTGTTGGATTTTTCTGAAATTCCATGTATTTAGAATTCTTCTCCTTCTGTCACTACCTATGTAGCAGTCTTGAAAGGAAACTTCCAGAAGGAAGAGGTCACTGTCGATAATAGCACTGTAAACCCAAACAATGCTACTTACAGGTGGAACACGAGACTAATGCTTACTGACTGTGGCAGGGCTTGTATATATTTTCCTTCTTCATGGTGGATTTGGCTCAGAGTAACTCGACAAGGATTTTTAAAGTTTGTTTAATATATAACTTACTTCTATTTAATATTCCTAAGTTTTACAAAGTTAATAGATAAAACATTCTGTAAATGGATGAGATGCTGGTATAGACAGAGTTGTTTTTTGAAATTCCTAAGCAGGACGTTGATTCAGTATACCTCCAAGCTACTGAAAAAACAGTGAAGAATGTGCCTACACTAGATGCTATGTGATAACAGCAATGTCACCTTTACGTGTCACATGTAGATGCACACTAAGAAATGCACAGAATTTTTCTGCCAGTGTATTAGTGCTCTCTCTTCAGACAACTTCAGATAACTAACCAAAGTTCTCTTGTTTTCTGACTGCAGGGAATACCTAGCAAGGGATTTAGCACCACAATGAAGACAGGTAGAAGATGTAAATCTTTGCATGTCTCAAGTCAGCGTAGCTATGTTGGCAAAACCTGATAACAGAGGCCTGGCTCAAGTCAAATATAAGCTGACTACAACCCTAGAACTGTGTCACAGTGGACTGAGACTTGAACTGTGTTGTTCTTCAACATCTTAAGCAACTCCTCTGAGTGACATACCTGGAGTATAGGAGAGGAACCTATTTTTAAGTCTAGTCTGAGTAGTGCAAGCTTTGTGATTTAACTCTTCAGTAAGTTATATTGGGAGAGGAAGAAGGGGAGCAAGCTGATGTATAGAGTCTGAATAGAGGCATTGATTTGAGGCAGATTTGTCAAATATGAGTTTGCTGGTTGTGTAAAGTAGTGCTGAACTTGATGTTTGTCCATATTATGGACAGAAAGCATAGTATACAAAGTGAAAGTCTTAGCTTAATTATAGCTAGGTTTTGTACTTTGTCACTGTAACAACAAGTTTTCATTAGTTCTATTCAGAAATAATTCTTTTGCACATTAAGAACATTTATTCCTCTCCAGGCCATGGCAGCTTTTACTGTAGAGCAGAGATATTAACATTGTTTGTTTGATTTCCAGCCCTGTAAAGGTCACTTTGATAGGAGCAGTCCTTTTTACCCTGCAACACAGCCAGTACTTGCCAATAGCAAGACACAACCTCGTGTTTTTATACACCATCTTTCTTGTCGTCACCAAGGTAAGAATGTAAAAATGTTATAAATAACTGAATAACAAATAATATTTTATTTCATTATTTTGGAGAAAAAAATATGCCCTCAAACATTCTAGGACAAGTTAAAATATGTGCTTCTGAAGACTTCTCCTACTGAAGCCTTAAACCTGTGTTTAGTCTTCTGTATGTGACCAGAACAGAAGACCTGTTCTCTGCCTTTTGCAAGCTGCTTAATTCCTTGTACCTCTGCAGTCATCTGTGGATTTGCAAAACAAGGCAACTGTGTTCTTATCTAGCTTAAAGTGTTTGCAACTTAAGTGTTTAGGTGGGAAGACAAAGTGTATCACTTTGAAGTATCTGTAACTACTTTTATAATAAAATAGGTATTCAACACAGAAGTAGTATCTTAATCCCTCCAGTTTTGTTCATTTCCAGGATGATGCAGGCCTTCAGGATTATTAAGAAAGTGTAGACTCTGTGTTAGCAGAAGTCTGGTGATTTTAAAAGCTTCAGAGCTGCTGTTGAATGGACTAGAGACTGACTTAGTGATAGTTGCCAGTCTCCTTTCTGTGAAGTAGATTACAGGTTTAATTCTAGAGAAGTTGCTTTAGGGAGCCAAGACTTCAAGCTGATGCTCATGATTCTCCACATAAACCAATAAAGGCATTGTTGAACTGGAAATGCTGGGAATGGAGAAGGAAAGGAATGTTATTCTGGAAGTGAGAAATTACAGCTGTCTTCAGAAGCTGGCTGTCAGATTGCACTGAAGTGAATAAGTTCTTAAACTGATCGCCATACTGACAGTCAGGAACTTGAGCATCTGCTTAACTAATAAAGCGACAGTCATAGTCCTGTAGTACTGTCTTGTTTTAGAAACTTTTCATGTCTCTGAAAACCGTGGAAACTGTTGCAGTATAAACTTGGCCAGTACCTGTATCAACAAAACAGTTTTTTCTATCCTGATTCCAAGTTACGTATTCTAAGAAATTTTCACCTAAATTGCTCAACTTTATGGAATGACTATAGCTGTCTGGGATTCTAACTAAAGTCTGGCTTGTGCATATATATTTAGGTGCTTACACATTGCATTCTTTCAGTTTCAAAGGAAGGGGCAACTCTTTACAGGTTTTCAGTTTGAACAAGATACGAAACTTACACATGGAAGTTGCTCATCACCTTAGTTATATGACATTAAATCTGTTTTAGGATGATTTTAGTAAATGTACATAGAAAGTTTTTTGTGCTCATTGTTTGTGTATAGCTGTGTGAAGAGTGTAGGTCAGAAGACCACTCTTTGATCAATTTAAGCTAAAATGAACATATTTCTGGTTTTGGCAGCATGGCCTCATGCTCATGTAGAAAGTTAGAAATGCCACGCATCCATTCAGCTTTGAGCTTGTTTTCAATTGCTGTGAAATCATTAAAACTTTTACTGTAACTTTCTCCTTGTTTTCATAGGCAGCAATGATGTTGACAAGATCTGCAACTTCTCCATTTGCTCCCTTTGAAGCTGCATTAGGCCGTATGTTCTTTGGCTTGCAAAAGACAACATCCAAAGTGAGGGGTGAAGGTGCTGCGTCTTCCAATGGCTCTTCAGTCTGCAACCGGTCTTCTTCTGAACAGCACCGTGATGGTGTTAAGAAAAGACAGGCGAAGAAGACAGAATAAGTAGTGTAAAATCCTTGATGGTCATAAGCGGTGAAGATATTTTTATTTCAGATCAGGCTGGCTGGGAAGTTTTTTCAAAGAAGTGCATATGAGGAGAGAACAGGGCTGTATATTACTCTGGTGGTGTTCACCTTCAGAATGTGTTTCGTAAGCTACTGTTCAGATGTCTAAATGCACATGTTGTGCATAGATTTGCACTGCCATGTGTTCACAGTTGCATGTCCTAAATAAAGTCATCGTCCGAGTAAGGCTTAATCACATTGCACTGTAGAACCATGAAAATGTGCTGAACTAATGCCTTTAACTAGAAAAATAACTGAATCACTGTTGTAATTCACATTGCACTGGTCTAGAGTTTTGTCATTTACTTAAGTAAATTTAATTTTTCATATTTTTATATTTTTCAGAGTAAGAGTGAATTATCTGGCACCTTTAAAAAATCTTTACAGTCAGCAAGAAGAAACATTACAATATTTTACTGTTGGCTTACTTTGACACGTTATTTGCAAGCATTTGATACATAGCTGTTTTTCATGTTACTCAGGTGATTTACATGTGGTTTGTAGCTCTCTTTCAGTTTGACTGGGACTAGACATCTCTGCCTGCACTTTTATCCAGGCATACACATTTTTTTCTTTTCAGAGCCAAACTTCCTTTCAAAAAAGAATACTGGACAGTACATTTACCTTGTTTCTCATGAGTTCAGTTCTGTTACGCTTGCTGATAATAAATACCAGCAGTGATTTGTAGCAATTACCTGTGGTGCTACTGGGGAAAAACTATTAATATCAGAAGCACTGGAACTATTTATTAGTGTTTCTTGAAATCTGCTGCTTCCTGCTTGTTGCATCTCCTTTGCACGCATTGTGGAGCAGTTGTAAGTGGCATACACTTCAGAACTAAGAACTTTTGATATTTTAGAGATGTTACATTTCTTAAGAATAGAATCTTTTCAGAGGAATCTTTCATTGATGTGCCAATTTTTAGAATAAATTAAACTATTTTTATAGAAGTAGATTATTTGTCTTCAGAGAGTACTGCTTTGAAGACTTCTCCAGGAAGAGGAGGTAGGATTAATCTTTGTGCAGGGATTCCAAGGAGAATGTTGAGGGAGATCTGATTTGATAAGACAACGTACTAGTTCCAGGCACATACCTAAATTTAGAAAAACTGTCACCAGTGCTGTGCTTAGAGAAAATATAAAAAAGAAAAAAGTACCCAAGAAATTTCTTGTGCCTGTCTAGTCACATTTCCATGGTAGTGTCCAAAACCACTGAAGTCCTTGATTTGGAATCCGACTTCATAGCAAATGTGCTATACCTTGAAAGCTAAAATAAGTATTTTCTCCAACAGAGAAGAATGGAGAAAAATAAAAAAAGAACCCCCAACTCTTTAGACAAAACAGCATCACATTCCTCACATTTTACACTGAAACTTGGTGTGCAGTTATAAATGCTTAGAGTATTCACTTGCAGGGTGTCTCAGTTTTTTGTAGCTTGGTACTAAGGATGTATGGATAAACATGAAGCTGCCAGCTAACTAGGTCATAATCAGTTAGTTTTTCAGCAACACCAGCAAAAGTTGTATGTCCACAGGTCTTGAAACTTCTGGATGTTTTTTTTGAAAAGGTGTAAATATGTATAATAGATCATGAGAACCATACAGAATTGGATTGTGGTATGGAACTACACTGTACAGTTTTGGAATACTGGCTGATAACTGGCTACTCTTAGCCCAAATAAATATGAAAAGATGCTTAGACTACTTCTTAAATAGGTTCACAGTTTGAAGGAAAATACATGGGGTTTTATTCATTTTGAACTTAAAGATGACAATATTAAAAAAAAAGTTGTTTTTCTTGACTGAACACCTTAAGAGAAATACAAATCACACTAAAAATACATTGTTGTGAGACAGAACATAAGTTCTGCTGAAAGAAATCCCTTTGGAAACACCATGAAAACAAACCTTCAGGTTTAAAGATCTCTCAGGCTTCTGAAGGACAGGTGCTCAAAAGAACTCCATACTGAATAGTTACATGAAAGTGTTACAAGAGCTATTTTTTTTTTGTAATACAAAAAAGATAACCAGTTGCACAGGGTTTAGCCTGAATTCCATAGGCAGCTTAAATACAGTCTGTCCAGGATGCCTTAAATAAACAATTTTTCTTGGCTTTCATGCTGATACTTCTCTATTGCTGCTAAACATCTCTGTGTGAGATTGGTAAGAATTCCTTATAGCTGTTGTGTTCTGATAATGCATGTCAGATTCAGGAGAGCTGCATATGTGAACTATTTGGCTGTATCTAATTCTGTCATTAGCCTGGTAAAATTAGAAATAGTTCTGTTGTGCTAATATAAATTAAGTCTTGAAGGACTTGTTCTATCAGCACAGTTCTGGGGCTGGAAGGCCCTATTCCTGATTAATCCAATTGGTGTGCTGGCTCTTCATTTCTAATGTATACCTAGTTTCTATAAAAATAAATACCTTAAGATGTGATTCATGGACAGAACTGAAGTTGCTTTAGATGACAAATGTGTTTTGTTTTCCTCTTCTGTATTTTCTCCATTTCATTTTATTGGAAAGAAGTGGAGATACGAGGATATCATACATACAGTGTCTTCATTTCCAGCTTGAATCTTCAGTCTATTATTAGGCAAGACACAGTTCAAGAATTCCAAACATCTGTCTTCTGTAGGAATCTGAATTTGCTCAACATAAGGGCTGTGCTGAAGTCTAAGATCTTTGAACAATCTAGACAGTGAATACAAGTTTTACTCAGAATGAATACACTTAATTTATAACATGAATCCTCATTTCTATGGTCTAAATGAAGTCTTACAAAAAGTAGCAACAGAGAAGCAGCAATTGACACTAAGATGAGAATCAAGAATGTGTTGTAAATAGTAATTTGCATTTGTTCTGATAAAACTGCTCTGTTAAACAGTCAAATGCCTTTTGTGAAATGTCTGAAAATGTCCAGCAAGGAACAGATAGTAGTATGAACACTGATGGAGAAATACATTAATATTCTCAGGCAAGAACAGCCTATTGCACACTGATCTGCAAGTGGGTTTTATCTACAGTCAAGAAGTAGAATATGATGATCAAAATGCCATACCAAATAAAACTGCTGCAACCAAATTTGATAAACTTGTGCATGTATATGTCCAACAGCTGCTGTGAATGGAAAAACATATTAGGTTGCTAGAGGAGACACAGGACATCTGAACACATTTTTCAGATGGAGATCAGTGACAAGTGGTGTCCCTCAGGGGACTGTATTGCATACTGGGACCAGTGCTGTTTAATATCTTCATCAATGACATAGTGGGATCGAGTGCACCCTCAGCAAGTTTGCAGATGACACCAAGCAGTGTGGTGCGGCTGACATACCTGAGGGACAGGATGCCATCCAGAGGGACCTGGAGAAGCTGGAGAAGTGGGTCCATGTGATCCTCCTGAGTTTCAGTGAGGCCAAGTGCAAGGTCCTGCACCTGGGTTGAGGCAAACCCGGTATCAACACAGGCTGGGGGATAAAGGGATTGGGAGCAGCAGAGAAGGACTTGGGAATACTGCTGGATAGAAAGCTAGACAAGAGCTGGCAATACGTGCTCGTGGCCATGAAAGCCAGCCATATCCTGGACTGCATCAAAAGAAGTGATGCTGTGTGAGCTGTTGTCCTGCAAAGGAGGTGATTTTTCTTTCGTGTTGGCTTTCTTGCTCATGAAGACATACAACAGCAGGAGAGAGGCTTAGTGCTTTACTTGATATTTTCAAGTTGAGCCAAGGAAAAGAATGGAGCATGGGAGAGAAACCCATCTTTCTGAGCAGCTGCCTCTGTATTAACTGGGTCATGGTCTTTGGCTTCAATCCAATTATCCAATATAATTTTAGGCCTCTTTAACTAAGTTTAGCAGCTGAAAACAAGGAGAAGTAGCTCATGTGATATGTTCAGCTCATAGCAGACCCTACCAGTGGCACTGAGATCCAGCATGTCAGAAAGAAGGATCAGCAGTAAATTGCCCCTTAACAATAGCCTCTTGTGTAAGGTTTGTGGATTTTTAAAATCAGTTTAGGCTTCCGAGTCTGATAATATGTAAAGGAGAGCTGGTGACCTTACCGCCAAACTTGAATCCAAGTTCTGAAGTAACGTTGCGTGGTTCCGAAGGTTTGCATTGCAATAATTCAGTATCCTCTCCTGTAACTAGTACACATGTGCTTTATTTTTATACTGGACCTTCTGGATTAAAAAGTTCAGGGTCAGGTTGGATTCTGAATCCATCTCTCCCAAGTGTAATCCAGATGTCGTGTAGCTGGCTTTCATTTAGAAATGTCTTGCCAAAATAATAGTTCCTTAGAAAACAAATGTGTTGATGATTTGTTCATTCCCTTATCTGTACCTGTTTATTTCAGACTGAAGCTTTATGTGGGTAAATTTGGCAGGAACTGGATCATAATTTACTGCAGAAGATGATGAAACACAAAGGATATTTTAAAAGTTTCAATACTATCTGTTTAGTAAGAAGAGTCATATGCTAGACCGTTTACTAAAAAAAAAAACAAACCAAACCAAAACACAAATTTAGTACTAAAAGGCTATACTTAAGCAGAGAAATTTCAGAAAACAAACCCATGCATTGCTATTGAGAGAAGCTGCTGTACAGGCACACAGGAAACAAGTTTCCAAATTGTGCGTGGCTATGTATGTGTTCTTGTCCTCAAATGCAAACTGAATGGAGCAAAAGGTTAATGAGCTTCAGACCAAGTTGAAGGAAGCACACAAGGAGTCAGGACAAAGTGGAGTAACTCCTAGAAATGCTATATGGCATGCTATTGCTGTAGCAAGAGGAGGAAACCCACATTGGTGTAAGAAATTAACTAGCAATTTGGTCCTAGCACTTGTATATCTTTATTGTTGCTGACCTAAGAGGTAATGTGCTGTGTTTCCGAGTCTGTAGCTGGTCTATATGGATGTCTATGAAATCAGAGCATCAATG